ATAATCACTGATATCGGTGCCAAGTGTGCCACTGGTAATCAGTGAAATAAATATGAGATCCCTAACCTAGCTAATCCTTATTATGTGATCTAACTAACCTTGTTTTATTTTACTTTGCTTAAATTCAATGAACACAGTATTGGAAGATTTAAATTAACGTGAAAATGTCAGTATTTTATTTATATGCTAAAACATTCTTCCTTTTTTAGTTGAATTTTACTGATTATCAGTGCTAAGTATGCCACTGGATAATCAGTGACTATCCACTGATTCAGATTTAGAGAGTATGTAGTTTTAGAATATTTCCAACTTAACAATTGACAATGCAAGTAGTATCCATTAATTTAAATACATTGCCACGTTACATCGATTTGTTAACAAAATAATAAATGGTTTTCAAATCTAGGACGAAAATATAAAAAGATTTTAAATATTATTGCAAGTCACGGAAAAGTGTGAAATTTTGTCTGGAAAAGTTATGAAATTTTAGGATGAAGAATATGTGATAATTTTGTTTGTTATGTTTAAATTTCTTACATATAATTATTTTTATGATTTATCCAAATTATTTTCAGATTTGTCATATAAACTTTTAGATAATTCAGCAAAATCATCCTTTCGGTGCGGCTGTTAAATCCGAGTAATACCTCGGAAATAACAATCCCGGCCCTCGCCGGTCGCCCAGGAGATGGGAATTTGAAACAGTGTGTATTTTCTTTTCACGAGTTTCCGCGTGACGTCACGTGTGTCACACGTGCTGCCTAGCGTCGATGCTCGCGTAATAATTCATCCCTCGCGCATTCGGCGGCGCGTATTCCGCGCGTCGGCGTCGGCGTCGCGGCACACGCGCGTCCCACTGAAATTGCGGTGCGGCATAAATTATACGGGCGAAATTACAACGTCGCGCAAAGTACGGTGGATTCTACATGTAATTACACTGTTTGATCCTAAATGATATAGACTGACTGACATCAAGCTGAACGTGGAGTACTGACGTCAAGTCGCTTGACGACGTTACTATTTAGAAGCGGGTTATCCAGGCGGAATTGCTGATGCTCCAACCCGCCCCCGTACTCGCTCGCTCGTGTCTCGCGTCGACTTCGATGTGTTTCGCCGTTTAAGAACGACGGGAACCAAGTAGAGAGTCACGTTCGCGGGCGGGAGGAGAGACTTTATACCTTGCGCCATGCGTAAAAGCACGCATAGGCAGCGCCGAGGCATCAGTGCCGTAGTCACGCTCGCTCTTTGTTTCGAGCGAGCGCGAGGTCGTTGTCCCAATTCTCGACTCCGTGTCTATGCCGTCGTCGTCGTCGTTGTCGTCGTCGTTGTCGTCGTCGTCGTTCGTCATCGATAGAGATAACAGCGATAACTCACGATTTAGCGACGCGCCGCCGGCAAGCTAATAAATTTCTATGCAGCTAGATCGAAAAGAGCCGCGGCGCCGGTAAAAGATGGAAAAATTATTATTATCCTTTGATATATATTTCCCCTCTTGCATTGAATAGAGGCAAAGTCATAATCCGATATCGTATTTTACGGGGGGGGGGTACATTTTATTTATTCCTCGTGAACCTTCGTCGCTTTTACGGCTTCTACGGATCGCGCATCTACATTATTTGACGCGATACGCGTGTTGTTAAAATAAACATTTTTCATACGTTGCATCCGGATTTACTGTCGTCAATAAAAAAAAAAAAAATGCACGCGGCGATGAAAGTTTTCCAAGTCTCGCATTTACGAGATCATTTGAATAAATCGAATTTGTGCAGCGTAATTTCTGTGCATTTTGCGTGTTCGATCGAGCACCGACGTCCGAAATTGAAAATGCGCGAGCTCAGGTGCGCATCCTCGTAAATAATCTCCATGCCATCTGTCTTAATAGGTGGCCTGGCTGGCTTTACTACTGGTGGAGGAACGAACGAATGCGGAGATATGTTTGTGTGTGCGCGCGCGTGTGTGTATTTGTGCGCAGCTTGAATAAATAAACAATCCGGCGCTCCGGCTGCATTTAATATTCCGCGAGGCAACGTGCATATGCGACGAACTCGCGACCAAATGTCACGGTTTCGGACATACGTGTCACATGGAAAATGGAAAATCGTATAAATAAATATAAATGCATCATTGATTCGCGCCCATAGCCGATCCGCGTGACGTTTCGACGTTCGAGTTTATATTGCGCAAACTTTTTCCGAAGTAGGATAAATGTGAACCCGGATGGCGAAATGTATGAATTATGGCGAAACCTACCATAGCATGAATTCTAAGTAACCTAATAAAGACAAATAGCGTATTTTTTTTAAATTATGTCAAGTCAAACCGGTCGATCGATCATAAATACTAAAAAACAATGTTGTTAAATTTCTCTCAATTTATTAATAGTCTTTTATTATTTATTATAATTTGTAATGTAAGAATTTACTTTTTTTAACCCTTTGGCAGTAATGTTAGATTTTAAAAGCACAATTTTTGATCGCGAATTTTAGTAGACAAATCTGTAAAAAAATAAGTAAAATACAATCCAACGTGTATTATAAAAATTCATTGTTAAAGCTTTCGCAAATATACGTAAGAATTTTTTTAGATTTTTACAGAACAATATAAAATTCTGCATTAAAGTTCGAAAGTGTGGACAAAAAGAAAATTTCACATTGTCGGCGGAGGATTAAACGAATGATAATTAGTACAACTTACTAATTTGTAAAAGCTGAGCTATGTTCTGGACTAATGGGTTTTCTATAACAAGCCATTACCTAAGCTTTAAGTCTTAAGCCGTAAGAAGTTGACTAATTAGAATCGAATATGAGAAGAATAATCGACTATGATTAGCCAATTTCTTACGGCTTAAAATTTAAAGCTTAGTTAATGGCTCATTGTAGAATTCCCATAAGATTTTAAATGGACGGAAGCGTATTTCGGAATGTCTCTCTGAATGATACAAACAGATGATTTATTGTTTGTCATGAAAAGCAGAAAGAGCCCTCGTTTAAAGCCAATCTGGCAGAAAAGTGACAGGAGTGACACTTTGTGAACATCACATGAAATCCACTTTTGGAAATGTATTCACGAACTCAAGTCGGTTTCATAACGTTTACAAATTTTAAGTGCTGTCCTCGACTTTTTAACGCCTTTACGGTCACGTGAGGGATTTCTGTTTTTTTCTACCCTCAGAAATACATGATCTTTAACGGCATGAGGTGTGTACCTATATTTTTAGCAACTTGGGATTTGTTTACAGCGACAGATTACAAAAAAATTACGTTACTCCATTTTATCAAATCAAGTTGGACTTGGGATTTTTTGAAATAGAAAAAGAAATTCAAGTAAAGAAATATAAATTTAATAAAAGTCTAATGTAATTGAAGATGTTACTTAAAAGTCTAATGTAATTGAAGATGTTACTTAAAATTGTGAATCTACAGTCTGTAATTACTCACAGGTAATGTTACGGTCTGAATAATCGGACAATTTATTACATATACAGTCATTTATTATATCTAATATGTTTATCATGTATTTTTTACGAATTATAGAATCGGTTTTGTTTTATATTACTGAACTTGAATACATCTCAACATCTTATCAAATTGGTCTAAAATAACTGTTTTATTTATTACTATAAAGATTTTTATACAAAATTTTTTTATGGTATTGCGTACCTCAGTATACAATACTGGACTTTCATCTTGTGTCCAAAGCTGTAATGTTTGAATTTTTAACTTTTGACTATTTCAACGAAGATATATTGATGACTGTGGAATTTGTGTTTTTTAATCTTGTGAGTAATATATTTTTAATTTTTCTACTAATTATTAGATAATTTCAATTAAATTTTTGTAGCACTCTCTTGAGTGTTACATGCCTTTATAATTACAGTTTTAAATAATTTTACATATATTAATTGTTATTTGTCTATTATGATTTTTAATTTTTATCAAGTAATTTATTGTGACTGAATTTAGTATTCGCGGTTTCTTCTATACACACTTATTTCCGAGGAATCAGACCTACAATGATACTACCCAAATTTCTTCAAGTGGCGATATTTCAAAAACTTTATTCTGTATATTATATTAATTTATGTTATCATTGAAAATGACCCGATCGGGTTCGAAACGTTTGTTAATTTTGTTGGCTAAATTTGTATGTATGTTCTATTATTTTAATATATATATTTGTTGTTAATTTTTTATACTTTGGCTCTTTGCCCGTTCTTTACTTGAATTTATTTACGATCGTAGAGCCTTATTACTATTTATAGAAAAAGAAATGATTTTTAAGTATACAAGATTGGTTTGAACCTCGGTACGCAGATTAGATGCACTAACGAATGATAACTAAATCTGTATAGGTATCTGTATAGAAAGTAATATCTTTAATTAATGTAAATTAATTAAAAAATAAAGTATCTGCGAATATCTCGGAATGAGAATTTTGCATGCAAATTTATTTAAAGTGCTCGAATAACGCAACTAATCGAGCGCGTTCGCGACTTTGGTAGTGCCATACGACTATGTAGTGCATGTCCGTCGTGTATACGGGAGAGCGCATATACATACGGCGAGCCAGAGAAAGTACAAGACGAAAGGAGCGAGAAAGACCGGAGGGGATACGACGCTTTCCAATAATTTCTGCGCTTTGTTGTAAATTCCCCCCGCTAATTCGTGGTATTTTCTCGCTGTATTTTATGAGCGGCTACTGGCTTTGCCTCGCAAATTGTTTCCAGGAATTCTCCGTACGCTGTTAAATTACTGTACTTTCACATAATATGTGCGGTGGATTTTAGCTCGGCGCAGCGTGCCGTGCCGCGCCGCACTTCAACCTGGAGTCTATCCTTCTCATTGGAATTTTGCGTTGCGCTTGGGGAGAATTTTATTTTTTAAGCTAATCTCTTTTTATTACGTACAAAATAGTTTTAACTTTTCGCCCCCGTATAAGCTTTTTACTCCGTAAATTGATGAAACGACGTTTGTTAGAGACGAATTCTCTTTCTGTTTCAGGCGATCGCGACGCTACCAAAACGGCCTCTGGTGAGTAAGCGAAATTATATTTTTTATAATTTTTTTCTCTTCTCATTTTTCAACAGTACAATAGCATTCGATTGCTGCATCAAAATTGTATCGTTAAGATACACTACGTATATACTGTGTGGGTCATTTAACGATATATCCTTCGTCGATGACGATCGTAAAAGCATACGGTTTGAATGATGAAAACGAAATTAGTGTTTCCCGATACGACGTGCATTTTGCTCGTCTCGAGGTGAAAGAAACGTCCGAATAGAGATATGTATTTCCAAAACCGGTCGTCATTTAAAAATTTACGACTTGATGGGCTGGCGTTGGAGACACGTAAAAGCGAAATGCTTCAACCGATATAACCATCGAATCGATTGCCGCCGAATTTCCGTATACTATTTCCAATTTCACAAAATTCGCCACTATCGTAAATACTAAACGAAAATGAATCTTGCGTGTCCTGATAGGGTAACTCTGGTATATACGCCGCATCTATCAAAAACTTAATTTATTAAATATTATTTACTATGTTTAAAATAAACGAACTATATCAGTAAAAACTTTGTACTGTCTACTACTATGAAAAAAATATTAGAAATCCGAAATATTTAGTTTTCGTGTATTAAAAAATAAACTTTTTGAAAACTTGCATTTTTGCTATATATAGATAATGAGTGGGATATATGGCAAAAATGCAAGGGTTTCAACAAACTAAACAAAGAATACGAAAGCAAAGCACTTGTATTTTGCTATACAACATGCTTTACTATTCCTCTACACGTATGTATCACGAAATAACCACTAAGTCTTTTACACACCTTACAGTAATCATTTTATGTAGATTATAATTTATGATGATGCTACTTGTTACACACACAGTGACAAATCGATTCAACTCACAATAATTTCATTAATATTAACAGTAAGAAGCTGAAATTATAACTCAATACTAATATAACATAAAGGCATGTAATAGTAGTTGCGAGAAAATTACCTCCACTTCTTCTATTTTTTTTAACTTCCGCGGCGTAAATCCCAGTGCGGCGTATATACCGGAGTTACTCTATGATATTTCCGAAGCCATTTGGATTTTTGATAGTCCATTAACGATTATGTCGTATCTAAAAGTATTTAAGGAATACTTATAAGATGGCTATAAATCGTTATCGCATCTTTTTTCAGTAAAATCGCTTATAACAACGGAAAGAAAATATTTAACGTTGGAATTAGGAGTTATTATCGACAGAAGAGTTTTAATAAAAAGCTATAGATTAATCATCGAATCGGGGTCCAATTAGTAAAAAAAAAAAAACGTTTTACTATCGATGCGAAAACCGAAGTCGATGGATAAAGAGTGATATGTGTGAGCGTGCTCGACGGACTTTAACTACCCGGAGAAGAACGAGAGAACCGCCATTAGTTCAAAAGTTTTCTCAACAGTCTGTCAGTCTGTTTTCGTCGACGCGCTTCATCTTATTCCGGTGAGCGTGCACGACTATTGTCTTCCGCCGGATTTTCGTCGGCACGAAACTTTTGGAAGACTCAACGAATCACCACCAGGTTGTCGTCGATGGAGATCGATGATCGGAGATCGCTTTTTCGATTTTCTCCCTGATAAATAGAAGAAATTTTTATGTGAACAAAGTATGAATAGGTCATAATATTTTTTTCATTGATTGTATGCTCGACGATACACTGAAAAAAATACTAAATTTTAATAAATATTTGTTTAAATAATTCCAAGTAAATATTTACTAAACGTAAATATATTTTTATTTGATACAAAAACCATTAATTTGATTTAACTATCGTTTTTTTATTGAGTAAATATTTATTATAAGTAAAGTTTATTTAGTACATATTTATTTATTGTAAGTAAAATTTACTTAGTGCATATTTAAAGAAATATGTATTAAGATTTAGTAAATTTTTTTAGTCTAATGTTACTTTTTTGAACTTTTTTGCGAGTAATCAAGATAATGCAACTTTTTCTTAAAACGAAAACATAAAAAGGGAAAACTTTTACTATTAAAATTAATAGAGAACTTGTGTACTTTCTGTTCTAGGGGAAAAAGTTACATGATTAGAACCCTAAAGTATTTAACTTTAGTTAAAAATACTCTATTCGAATTCAATCAATTTATTATTATGAAAAGTGTCGAAATCACACTTCGGATCGCTTAATTACACTTCTTTATCACTTTGAACCATCTGAAGAGTTATAATTTCTTATCCTGATTTATATTCAATTACCTTCACGTTTTAATATGTTACAGTAAAATCATTTATGATCAAGATGATGAAATTGATCTGATATAATTTTCTTAATTCCTTGACAACCCGAGAATTAAAGTTGTAAATGTTTACGACATGTCTTCTTATGTGTCAGCTCGAAACAAGGCAGCTTTCGCGAGACGTGAATGTACCTTAATACATTCCACTGTGAGTACCAACGGTGCCATCGGCGGCAACAGTATAAAGCCGGTGTTAATATTTGATTTGCCGGTTGCTGGGCGGCGATGCGCATGCCCAGCGTATCTTCGACACCCTCTTCGCGATCCACCCCCTTAAATCTGGCCACCCTTATCCATCCCCTCATCCTCTCCTCCTTCTCCTCCTCTATGGAGAAACTCCTATTTACCTATCTGTCGCCGCTCTCAATAGACGGGATTTAATACCGGGCGGTTGCCACGCGGTAAACTTGTGTCTTATGTCTCGCGGATAAGAATTATCGTTCGAGCGATCTGGTTTTGCGGCCGACGAGTTCAATGATCCCTCGCACAACAACTCGCGCGATGGTACGATATTTTATTTCGGATAATTTTGGCCGGTGTTGCTAACGTCTGGCGGTCGATATACCGCGATAATTTTGATGCAGTCGCAAGAGAGAAAGAGAGACGGAGAGAGGAGAGAGAAAGAGAGAGAGAGAGAGAGAGTTGAGAGAGCGCACAGTGACGACTCGGAAATTGTCGATCGGACTTTACGATGAACTTGCTATTCCCGTCCATCCTGCCCTTCGTTGTAGCGCAGCGCCAACTCCCATGGAGGGAGGTTAAATGGTAGTTCGCGTCGAAACTTTTTTCCCCTACATTTATAAAACCCGAGTATCGATTAACCTTTGTGAGTGACGTGGCGAATTTACCAATCGTGCTTCTTTTTTTAACGGAGATTTATTAATATCATCCTCTTATGTGGCAGAAAATGGTCTATAGACTGCAATCAAGCATAACTTCGTTTTTACCTACTTGCCCGACACTTTTCCATATAAAATGCATCGTGATGCATCTGTTGTACCACGTCGGTCACTAACGTATCATTGCGCGCCTCCTCGTGTGTTAATATTTAATACGTCGTGTAACGTTGTTAAAACAGGAAGTCTGACGGGGCTAAGCTAGGCATTTCAATGCATAAATTAAGATCCTTTGAAACTCTAGTCTCTGCTTATTAAAAAAAGTATCTAAATTTTACACGAGTTACTCTTATATAACGCTGTTCATTAAGATAACATTGAATAATTTTCACAGCATACATTATAGCAGAACATATTCGCATTTAGACGAATTTTTTGCACAAGGAAGCGTTGAAAATTTTTTCATTGTATTTGCCTACAGACATAATAAGTTTAGACTGCACATTTCCTGATCTTATAATTAGTAGTCTATGCTCTGTTAGAAAGAATTGAATTATATCAGTACCTTTTTCAATTCTATCAGCATCTCTCTGCAATTTGGATTATGAAATATTTTAGAGAGAAAGAAAGAGCGATATGATTTAAGTTACTTCACTTCTTTTGAAGAGAGTGACAATTTCATAGGAAGGCGCAGTCTATTTTTATTACGTCTATGTATACGCCTAGAATATCTGAAACATTTAAATGTCACGAGCATTTAAATGTATTACTTCGCTTTCTAGCAAAAAACCAAACATTTCCGTTTGTCGAAAAAATTATTTTAACGATTATTCCGTTAACGTCTCTGAGAAACGCTGTACGAAAGCAGATGGTCGCGGAGGGATTTCGTAATGTAGAGATAGAAAACCACCGAGTCCCAAAAATAGACGACTTTGCGGGCGCGCGCACGTCCTCACTTTATACGAGGAAACGAGAGGCCTGTCAGCTGATTGGACGAGTGCCAATTTTTGGTGAATGAACCGACGGTCTCGTGTCTCGAATACACACCCTCTTTGGTAGTTTGCCCTCGACACGGCTCGCGTCCGGTCGCGAAAGATATGAGATCTTTTTTTTAATCAACCTACGGAACTGTGATCAATTCTGATACTTAAAAGAGATGTAGCATCTTGATTCATGTAATAGAGCTTGAAATACACGCTTGAACATTACGCGTTCGTTTGCGTATTCACGCAATTCAGATACTGAAACGCGGATATTTTTATAACCGATAATAGTCACGAAATTATATCAAAGGAGTGATATCTATTTAATATGTATTATGAAATTATTAAGAACACAATTTTGCTGAAGTACATAAAAATTTAGCTAGATATGAATCTCAAAATCATTTTGTTGGGCTTAACTAGTTATGTACGAATTAGGATGTTCATTGGTTGCTGGAACGTCTAAGCTTTTTGAAGCATTGCCTATATAATTATTTTGATAGTCTAAAAAAATTATTTTCAAATCTGTATCTACTAAAATTTTTAGTGCATGATCGTTCTTTCCATGAGATAAATGACGCAGTTATAACATGCTGAAAAACTATTTGGATATAAGAATTCGTAGCAACGTCAGAATTACCTTGACCAACTCGACGTCAAATCCTTCAACGGCGAGTTGACTCGTCCTATCGAGTTAAAGGATTAACGCTTACGTCTACCCCGAGAGGCGTGCCCATTACCGCGAGGAACGGCTTTGATATGCTAATAAAGAACCAGTAACGCGATCTCGATGTCAGGATATTGTCGCCCGATAAAGGCGTTAGAGACACGGGACCCGAAAGAACAACTGCGCATGTGACATGTACGTAAAAGCCAACAACAGGCTTAGGCCCCGGGCC